GGTAGGACAGAAAATGACTTCTATACTTTTAAAATTTGCCCAAAATTTAGGAGGTCTTTAGACCGAGCCAACTATATCATCAATACTATTATTGTTCCTCCCAAAATATAAGGTAAGTAATTGGTTGGGTTAGTTGATGATAATTGTTCTTGCTTTTTCTCAGCAATTATTTGTTTAAGATAAAGAGGTTTTATTATTGCTTTTTAAATAATTAAATATTTGTTGTAATTCAGCTTTATTATTATTATTATTATTATTATTATTATTATTATTATATTCAACTATTAGTTTATTATTACCATCAAGAGTAAACATTTTTTATATCATGTTGAATAAAAAACTGTTCTAGTTGTTCTAAATCAGAAAGAGAAAGGACCTTTTGCTCTTCTTCATTAAACTCATAACATTTTTATCTTTATTATTATCCTTTGGTGTTGGTGATTCCTGAGGAGTAAGAAGAGGAGTTTCTTCTTCACTATCTTTTTCTAAGGGAGGAACCTTTCTTTCTTGTTTTTTTTGGTTCCTCATCTATATTAAACCTCTTTCTTAATTCATCCATGAACTCCCTTTCTTTTTGTAATATTATTTCTTCATGTTTTTTAGTTGCTAGTTCAACTAACTTTTCTTTTAACACTTTCTTTCCTAATTTGAGAATATCTTCAAGAGAGTAATTATTGGGATTAGCCAAGATTTCTTTGATTGGTTTATCTCTTTTTTCTTGTAAGAATTGTTCAAACTCTGGAACTTCTTTTTTATCTATTTCCAACACTTGAAGATTTTTCAGTGATTGTCAGTCAGGACATGCTTGACATAAAAATAGTTTTTCTAATTTATCCATCCCTTCAAGTTTTAAGACTTGTCTATTAGAGGAGGAAGAATCAAGAAATTCTAAATTTCAAATTACTAGCATTAATTTTATTAATTAAATTTTCTTTACAAGAAACAAACTCTAAGTTTTTTAAGTTGCTAATATCTAATTCTGTTAAACATTTAGGTTACAAAGTGATACTTCTTGTTGATGACAAACAAACAATTCTTTCAAACTTTTTGAGTTGTGGCAGTCTAATTCTTCTAACCTGTTTTTATATATAACAATATAAATACTTTAAATTTTTTAACTCTTTAACTTCTAACTCTTCAATATCATTACAATTTCTATTTCTAAATTATTACTTAAATCTAAAGCATCTAGATTATTCAAACCACAATTTAAACTTTTTAAACTAGTTAAGTCACTTAAATCAACTTCTTCTAGTTCATTAGATGTTATCATTAAGTATGTAAATTACTTAGACCAGTGAAATCTGTTTCTCATATTTCATTATGGTTATCATGCACTTCCTGCAATTCTTTATTACTGTTGTACATGAAAATGAAATTATGTGAATTTGCAATTCACATATGTGAAATTCAAATTTACATGCATGAAATTCAAATTAGCCAATCAGAATTTCACCCCACTCCATAATATCTTTGAATTCATCTCTAACAAATGGACAAATATTCTGGTAAATATATTCTTGTCTTTTGTAATCCAAAGGAGGTGGTGTCAACACTAAAGTTCTATCTTCTTCAAAAATATCTGCTTTCTTGGTTTTCAATAAATTGGATTCAGTAAAAGGTCCATTAGCAACTTTTTGAACTTTTACTGTACCAATATTAGTTGCTTCAAAAAGAAAATGTTGATATTTCTGGATGCTTGGTAATTTCTTAAAATAAATTCCTAAAATAGATTTGATATCCAAGTATTGAAAACCCTTTCCACTTTCATAACATTGAGCTTTATTCAACCCTGCTAGACTTGATCTTTTCACAACTTCTACAACATGGTCCACACAATCTATGCTTGTTTTTCCATAAAGTTTTTTAATCAATCCAAAACTACCATCACATTTGAATTTGGTATGTCCAGGAATCATGAAATTCAATTTAACACTTTACATTATTTTTATTTTGACCACCAGCATTATCACAAGTAATCTTTAAATGCTTTTCACCTTTATTTAATTTTTTGATTCCATCAAAAATCATGCTAAGTGTGCCATTGGGTCCTTTTCCTATAATTTAATCTTCATTAAGAACATAATTGATTTGTTCCCTTGCTGCTTCATCTTGAATACCAAATAAATGAACTTTACATAGACTAAGGTAATAGATTTTACTTACTTGTTGATCTGAATGTGGCATATGAATATTTTGAGCTCAATCATAACTATAATGAGCAGTGGCATCAATACTGCAATACTGTGTTTTACCCTTTGAATAATGTTGATTAACTAATTTTCTTTGTTCTTCTGCTAATTTGGGTATTTTTATTATAATAATTTCTTTCTAATTTTGCCTTGGACAGATGTTCTTTAAATTGTTTAAGTAGATCTTTGGCTTCTTCCTCTTGGCGAGCATTATAATGTAAACCATTTCTAAAATGTTGACAAGTATCACACAGATCAGTCCTGGGACTCATAATTTGAATCTCTGGTGTCAATTGATGTCACAATTTTCTGAAAGCATCATACTTCAAAGATTTCAAATTCTATCTACTTCTAGACCAGCTAAAAAATCTCTATATACTGATTTGTAACTTATTTCAGCTGTAAGAATGTAATTGATTGAGTTATTCTATTGTTACTTCTTCCTGGACTTGGTAATCCATGAACTTCTGCATAATTTTCTAGAAAATTCTTTACTACTTCTGCAACATTCTTATCAATCACCATTTTAGTAATACCAATTGTTTACCATCTTGATGAGGATCTTATATTTACCCAGCAAGTTCTGCTCTGCATTTTGATTTCAATGACAAATCAATGCAAATTAAAAAAAGTTACCTCTGGTTAGTTATTAACATGTCTTCAGATCCAAACCACACCAGTCAACATTTACATTTCCTTGTCTTGTAAAAAATAAAATTTTTATTCATGTCAACAAAAAAAAACAACAGGGGTTCCATACATAAATAATTAGTGTATGCGTTTTTTGTTGATACTAACTTTTTTTTATTTTTCAACCTAAAAGTAATTCAAACAAAAATAATTTAGGAAAGCCTCAACAACTTCAGCACCAGTTGCTCTTACCAACATTAAAACAAATTGGAAAACTTTACCAGAGGAAGAACAGGCTAATCTTACAAAACAACTTCTAAAAAATAATGTCATCAATTTTAAAAGAAAAAAAAAGAGAAAAGAAGTAAAGAATTTGAAGGAAGGAATGGGTAAGTGTTGTTTATTGTAAGAATGGTGGTGGTGGTTATCACTGCCACTCATCATCACTCTAGTTTTTTTGAAAAATTGGCATTATGGCACAAAAAGTTCAGTAACTAAGTGACTTGCACTATAGTTCCCAAATAATAATAGAATGAAAATAACTCTTTAATGTTATATTAACTTTGTACTTGTTTCTCAAATGTTAAAGGAAATACCTCAATGATGTTTATGACGAAAATGTTACAGAACCAATTGCTTCATTCTCAAATGTAAGTATATTGATTACTATTGTGATCAACTGTTTTTTGAGTTTTTCAATTTAAACTGTTATTAATTAATCCTATATTAATATACTATTTCCAATCAGAATGATGAACAAAAGTGTGTCAATGTATTCAATAAATTGAAAATTTTTATTAGTAATGAGTTTTATTTTGAAATAGAGGATGTTAATAATATGCTTGAAGATAACAATGAGATAGAAAGAAGCAGAATAGAATATATAAAAAGTTTTGTTGAAAAAATTAAAAGCAATAACAATACAACAACAATAGTAAGTTTTAAACAAAAAAACCCCACTTATCAATTGCCTGTTTCTAAAAATTTAATTTATATCCCTATTATAAGGATGATAATAATTTTAATGATATTGTAAGTATTTTTAAGACATTTTGCTTTCTGACACATGGTGATAATTATCCATTTATCCTTTTTTTTTAATTGTACTACAGACTAGTCCCCTTTTCTCCACAAACACCATCCTCCCCACCTCACCATCACCAATGATCTTTCTTATAGTGTTCCATGTTGCAATCCAAAAAAGGAAACCAAAGTGGTTGCAAAGGTGGTTGCAATCAGGTGTCGCAAACCATTTTTATATGTCTCAAATATGGTTGCAACCATCACCAAAAATTGCGATCAGCATCTATACTTTCTTCCAATAACAACTGCTATAACAACTGAAGACTCTCTTCCAACAACAACAACAGCAGCAACAACAACAACAACAACAACTGTAACTAATGATGATGCGAGCGTGCAATCTGAGTTTCCTAATTAATAGGATACTTATAGCTCAACACACAGCCTACCCGCTGACTTACAGTCAAAGATTAATAATAAAAATAACTTTATCTTCCTGGATAAAAGGTTCCCTAGGTTCTATATATGTTTTATATCCCAAAGGCGTCCCCTTGAGATGTATCTGAATACTTAAAAGGGTTCCCAACTAATAATTAAAGGTTGGCCA